ACTCAATGAACCTCATAGTTTGGATGTGATGGTTAGTTATGAATGTGCCTCCCAATAATGAGAGGAGAAATAATTAGACTACAAGAGCTGTAACCTAATTGGTCCATCTCAGTCTAAAAGGACTAGCTGAGTGGTAACTGGTAACTGTAAGCAGGTGAGGTATATGCTGAAGGAGGTGAGTCACTGTGGCAGAGGGTTAGGGAGCCCCTTAGAACGGTTCAAATTCCCTTCTCTAACCCATGCAGTGCTCTTCCATCACACCCTCTGCCATGATGGTCTGCCTGTCTGCCTGACCTTGGGCCCAGAAAAATGGAGTGGTCTATCAAACACTAAACCACTAAACAGACAGCCAAAATCCACTTTTTCTCCTCTAAGTTGTTCGTTAGATGTCTTGGTCACAGTGATGGAAAACAAAGATAAGAACTGACACCAGGAGTGGGGTTATTACTGTGACTAACCTGATCATGTGGTTCAAAAGTCTTTGAAACGCGCTTATATGAGGAGTTTGAAGAAGTCTGAGTATGCAGGCTGCACAAGGGTTAAAATATTGTAAGCACACCTTAACAGGCAATTCTGGTGACAGTCCTAAAGATCAAAATGCCAATAGGAATAGATAGCAAGGACTATGCACATGAAGTTTCAGAGGGAAATGAGAGCTCTATTGGAAATTGGACTTGAGGCCACTGTGAAAAATTCTGGCAAAGAATTTTTCTATGTTTTACCTATATCCTGAGACTTTATATGTGGCTAAATTTAGAAGTGACAGACTAATTAATCTGGTAGAGAAAACTCGAGGACAGTGTAACATTCAGGTAGTGGTAAGGCTATTGCTGGCAGTATTTAGCTAGGTATACTGTGAAAACTGGTAACAAAAAGAATGAAAGAAGGATTTATGAAACTTATCATTTGGCCACAAAAGTACATATAAAACTGAAGCCAAGGAAGCTGTGCTTATTATAGCTATGAAAGAGATGCTAAGTACTTTGCAAAAAGATAACAGAAAAGATGGTTTGAGGACAGCTCAGTATTTTGCCAGACCATATCCATTGCAGGTTCAAAGATATAAACAGGAAAATTCTTTTAGAAAAGAGATCATGAAGACCCCCTGATAACACAGGGGGTCATGTTTTACTGTGCTCAGCTGCTGAGGTACTCAGAGGTCGTGTTCCCAGGGGGCCCAAATATTGTTAAGCTGGCAGGAGACCTTGACATCATCCACACTATGCAAATTCTACAGAAATGCAAGATGCTAGAGTTAAGTGGTGGTGCAGGCTTCCACTAAGATTTCAGAGGAAGGACTTGGAGACCAGGCAAAGTATAACAGGATCAGAATTCCTACAGGCTGCTCTTAAGAGGTGAGCTATAAAGGTGAAATCAAAGCTAGAATTTAAGAAGACCCCAGAAATTAAGAGATGCCAGTAATTTCTGTCTGTCTGCCAAGAAAAGGTGCTATATGCAGAGAGAGCCAGGCTAAAAGGGAGGCCATATATGCTGCTACCAGCAAGTGCAAGGGGTAGGACTACCCAAGCTCTTTGGAGAATATATCTCACCATCACATACCTTAGATTCTATACACAGTTATTTGTCAGGCTGAGGACAATAAGTCTTATTTTGGTCCTATTCTTTCTTTCTATATCCCTGTTTCTCCTTTCTGGAATGGAAACCTTTAGTCTAGACCAGTGTATACTGGATATACCTAACTCACTTTTGGTCTTTATAGGGGCTCATAGTAAAGAGTTTGTCTTTGATGAAACTTTGGACTTGGATTTTCAGCAATGCTAAAATTCTTAAGACTATGAATATACTCAGATAAACTAAAACATTGTAAATTGTGAGATGAACATGAGTTTTTGGGGACAGGGGTCGGATGCTACAGTTGTAATCTAAGGTAATCTCCAAAAGCGACTATGTTAATACAGGAATATCCAGAGGTAAAATTTAGATTATGAGAGCTGTTATCTACCAGTCTATCCTACTTTAAATGAATTAACTGGGTGGTAACAGTAGGCAGGTATGGTATGGCTGGAGGAGGTGGGTCATGGGTGGGGGGGTTTCCCTTGGAAAGGGTTATCTTCCCTGGGGTCCCTCCCTACCTGCTCTGCTTCTAGGCCACCATAAATGGTGTACCCTTCTACAATTATATTCTCCTTTACCTTAAGCCTAGGACAATGGCATCAGCCTACCTTGAATTAAACTTCTAAAACAGAGAGCCAAAAATATATTTTCCTTTCTTTAAGTTGTTCTTGTTGGGTATTTTGGTCACAATGCCCCAAAGCTGACTAACAGAGGGAATCCCTGTCTCAAAATTAAACAGGGCTGGTAAAGTAGCTTGATAGTAAGCCCTGGATTCAATCCTCAGAACTGCAAAAATCAAAACAAATAAATAAATAATAATTGTTATCAAAAAAAGTTGCTATGTGGATTAAATGAAAACCCAAATGCAACATTTGATTCACTGCAAAGAAAATAGGATATGCCCAATAAGTGTTTACTATAGTTATAGTTGAAACCTTCCTCCTCTACTTGAAACCCCAAGAAATTTGGAATTCAATATTAAAAAATGTTCTACTACGAAGAAAATATTTCTTTCCTTCTTCTTTAAACTATATAGTGAGTGTCCCATCAAAATCAATGTCAAATTTAAGGTCTCCTAAAAAGAAACAACTGCCTCTTAAATTTCTATTACACTGACTCTTGTTTCAAATTCATATTCTCTCCGATCTTGATTTTAATTGTGTATGAGAATAAGCAAATACAGGAATGTATGACCCAACTGAATAACAAAGTGAAAAAATATATCAAGTTTAAACCCAGAATAAATCCTAATAATTCAAAGACTCTAGAAATTCAATAGGGGGTTCAGACTATTTTAAAATTACTATACTTTACTGAAGTAGACAACAAATTTAAGTTGAACATATAGAAAAGAAGTTTCAAATTAAAAAAATATGACTTACATGTAAAACCACCCTAGATATTTGAAATCATGTAAACAATGAGGGCAATAATGAAGACTTTGGCCAAAAGTAATTCTTAACCTATAGAAACATTATGCCTCACATGGAAAAGTTAAATTTATTGCTTTTAAGAGATGTTTCATATATAGGGGATGGATTATAAATAGTTTGTTCAAAGCATCAAAGAAAGAATACAGATCTGGATATGGTGATGCACACCCATAATTCCAGCCACGTGGAAGGCTGGGGCAGAAATGTTGCAAGTAGGAGGCTACCTGGGAAGCTTAGCAAGACTGTGTCTTAAAAAAACAAACAAACAAACAAAAAAAAACAGTATGGGGATTTTAGGTCAGTTATACAGCACTTGCCTGGCATATGCAAGGCTCTGAAATCCATCTTTGATACTGCAGGAATAAAACAAAAAATGTTTTTCAGTTTAAATCAAAACACAGTGGCAAATTAAAAGCATCTAGTAGAAGGAAACACAATAGGAAACCATATTCCTTTCCCTGTCACTGAAAGTTTTGTTATCAATAACAAATAATAACTAAAAAGATGTCACCTAAAATTTCAGTTGGTTTCCTTACTTAGAGAGTCAGAAGTTGGATCTATTCTCCAGGAAAGGTAAGGATTTCATCCTCCTAGTTAAGTAAAACAGAAAACTCAATCACAAATAAGAATAATTATTCTTAAGATAATTATTATTATTCAATAATAATAATTATCTTAAAAATTATCTTTGGAACTTAAAGAGTTTCCAAAATGCAAAACAAAAACAAACATCCCAATTGAAAAATGGACAGGCCAAGGAATGGTAGCATCTGTCTGTAACCCCTGCTACTTTGAAGGCCGAGGCAGAAAGGTCACTTGAGCTGAGGGGTTCATGACTTCAAGACCAGCATGAGCAACATAGTAAGACCTGTCACAGAAGCACAGGATAAGCTGGGCATGGTAGAGCACACCTATAATCTAAGTAACTCAGGAAGCTAACTAAAGCAGGAGGGTCAAAATTTCAACTCTAACCTGGATAACTTGATGTGACCCTGTCCCAAATAAGAAGGGATGGCGATGTAGTTCAGTTATAAAGAGTTCCAGGGTTCAATTCTCAGTAACACAAACAAAAAGCAAAACTACACAGGACAAAAAATTTTGAATAAATATTTTGCCAAAGATATATAAATGGTTGATAAACACTTGACAAGATATTCAACGATTAGAAACTAATGATTATAATGATTACAATAAGTAAAACAAAAAATAACAAGTGCTGACAAGGACATGAAGAATCTGAGATGCTTGTGAAACGATGGTAGGAATGTAAAATGATGTAGCTGTTGTGGAAAACATTGTGGAAGATCCTCAAAAATATTAAACATTATATTACCATATGATCCAGAAAATCACAATAGACAAAAGGTAGAAGAGTAAATCAAGTATCCACTAATGGATAACTGAGAAACAAAAAATAGTATACACACACAATAGAATATTATTCATCCTTAAAAAGGAAGAAAATTGTGAGACATGCTACCATATGGATAAAGTTGAAGACAACATGTCAAATTAAATAAGACAGTCATAAATGGACAAATACTTTTTTATATTTCTTTGGTATGAGGTTCCCAGAAGATAGTAGGAGGAGAAAATGCGGAGGTAGTGTTAAACAGGTACAGAGTTTCTATCAGGCAGTTCTACCACAATGTGCATATACTTAATGATACAGAAATATACACTTAAAAATAGGTTAAATGGTCAATTCCATGTTATGTATATTTTCCTAAAAAGTTCACTAAATGTCTTAGCATTCTTAAATAAGAAAAGAATATACTTTGATGATTTGAACCTATTTGACTTAGCTTAATGTGAGAACAAATCTGATTTTTTTTTGCTCTTTTTCCTTTAAATTAAAACAACAACAAAATAACCCTTATTTTATAGGAAGGCTCTCAATTTGAGATAGAAATTCAGAATTATATAGTTGAGTAGAGGAGAAGAAGACAGAAGAGATTACAAAACAAAGCAAAAGAAAACACACAAAAAAACCTTGTTTAGGTGTTTCTTCTTCTTTTTTAGTCTCCTCGTCCTCTAAGATGGGACTTTCCCGGGAAGAGATGTCCTGTTGGCTAGAGTTTTTCAATAGTACAGGATCAATTTGTGCTTTGAGGAGTGCAAGAGTCTCAGCCAACTCGTTTCGATTTCTAAACAAGGGAAGAAACAAGACAGTATAAAAATCTTTATTCTGAAGAACTTTTGGAATAATACCTATTAGAAATAGGTATTTTTTAAATATTTATTTTTTAGTTGTAGTTGGACACAATACTTTTATTTTATTTATTTATTTTTATGTGGTCTGAGGATCGAACCCAGGGTCTCGCAAATGCAAGGTGAGTGCTCTACTGCTGAGCCACAATCCCTACCCTGGAAATAGGTATTATTATAAAGAAAAAAAACACACATTTAAGAATATCGAAAACAAAGGTGCAGCTGGCCATAATTAACCCTGAATTCTAAAAATAAGTATTAAAAAAGGCATGTTATAGGGCCAAGGTTGTGGCTGAGTGGTAGAGCGCCTGCCTAGCATGCGTGAGGCACTGGGTTCAATCCTGAGTATCACATAAAAAAATTCTAAAAACAAATAAAATAAAGGTATTGCACACCTCTACAACTAAAAAAAATTTAAGAACAAAAAAGAAAGGCATGTTATAATTATATCTAATATTGGGATTCATAGTTACATGCACAATATAACTGAAATTATTCTCTCTACTGATTAGAAAAGCAGTGTATATCTCTTTGAATGAAAGCAAAAAATAGGACACTAAACAAAAACCAGAAATTAATCACTAAAAAATATTCTGTAATCTCTAAGGAGATTATTATCAATGCAAAACTTGATTGAAGAAGTAGTTTTTAAGCTACAACTAAAAAAAACTTTTAAAAAAGAGTAGTTTTTTAAATAAAGTTGAGTTAATTGGAAAGAATTTTTTCAATCTTCAGAGATAGTAGCATCTTATACTTTTATAAAATTATGATCTAGAACTTTCTGAATAATTATGGCAGAAAGCTCTAATAAGTTCAAAAACAAAAGGGTTTAGTTGATGATTTTGTTTTGCCAATGATGATTTATACCTAAACATGAGAACTCAGTTTCATTTAACAATACAAGGAAATCTCCTATAAATAAAATTCTTGGGGCTGGGGATGTGGCTCAAGCGGTAACGCACTTGCCTGGCATGCGTGGGGCACTGGGTTCGATCCTCAGCACCACATAAAAATAAAGATGTTGTGTCCACCAAAAACTGAAAAGTAAATATAAAAAAAAAAATTCTCTCTCTCTA